TGTGAGCATGTGGAATGTGTTATGGAGATTTGTTTACCCAGGGGTGGTTTATTAATTAGCCAATGGTGATGGTCTTTGGGCCAATTAGGTCCACCTGTATCATAACTGTTATAAAAGCAATGGGCTTCTTAATAAATATAGAATAATAAAGAGATTGATCAGCCTTCTGTGAATCATGGAGTCAATGCTAATTATTGCCCAGCTGAGGGCCTGCGGTGACATTCCATCACTCAACACAGTGCCACAGGCTGGACACTCTCCCCACTCTCCCAAACTGTCTTTGTGGGATTTAACCGTGATCTAAAAAATAAAAAAAGAAGAAAATAAATGAATGAGAACCAACTCCACAGGTGGATTTGGACTGAGCCTTCACCACTGTTGGCTGGTCAATATTCACCAGCTGCTTCCATCCCTGGAATTCAGCTCTCTTTTCTCCCCAGTTTTCCAAGCTCATCTGCTCCTCCTGCCCGTGGCTCAGATGCTCTTTGGATCTGTTCTCCCTCTGCCTCACAAACCTCTCAAGGAGCTGGGCTCTGCCTGGCTGCGGGACGGTCACAGCCAAGCCCCTCAGCCCTGCCAGGCCCCACAGCTGGAGGTGTATTTGGAAATGTGTTTGGAAATGTGTTTGGAAGCAGCCCTGCAGCTGCCGTGTCCCTCCCTGTGCCCCGAGGGCATCCCTCAGCACGGAGCAGCTCCTGGCCGGGCAGGAGGATGCTCCATGTGCTGCCTGTGAGGGCTTGGAAGGCAGCCCACGTCTGAGGGCTCCTGAAGGGAAAGCAGCTTCTCCCTGACTGCATTTTGGCAAAACCAGCGGTGTTTAAACACAACAGTTTATTCAGTCAAAGTAAATAATAATTAAATAAACCAAATTAAAATCAGGAATGCTCCAAACTATTCTCAGAAGCTTCTGAGCACTTAGCTCCTGGTGGGAGGAACATGGGCTCATTTCAGGGCTGGAGGGCTTGGTGGGCTGGGAATGTGGCTGTAACCACGAGGCAGTGGTGGGGTGGGATGGGATGGGATGGGATGGGATGGGATGGGATGGGATGGGATGGGGGTGCCTCTGCATCCTCCCCACCTCTGGCTGCTGGTGTCAGCCCAGCTCATCTTCCCAGTGCAGTTTGCTCCTGGTCCTCAGGGTCAAGGACATACAGCAGCAGACAAACAGGGCCAGGACCACAGCCCAGCCCTGGCTCCCAGCTTTTGGGCTACCTCAGGCCCACGGGGCAGAGCAGAGCTGTCCTTGTCCAGTGCCCTGGGTTAGAAACAGCTGGAACAGATGTGCAGGACTAGGATCCCAAATCCTCTGATTGCAGACCCGAGCACATCCCCTCCAGGCAGGCTGTGGGGACAGGGGACACAGAGAGCGTCCCAGCCCCGAGGCACAGCTCACCTCAGGATGTGTGTCAGACAGGGCTTAATTTTATCTGCACGGGGACGTGTCCTCATTTCCCTGCATCCTCAGAGCAGCGTGGAGCACTCCCCGAGCTCAGGCCTCCCGGGCTGGGCAAGAGGCTCTCTCCTTCCATCAGCACCACCCCAGCCACGACAAACCCGATGGAAACGCTCTTTTTGAGAGCATCCTCAGGAAGGCCGGGGCTCTGCAGAGCTGCCAGCTGCCCTCGGGGCAGGGCTTCAGGGAGGGAGCTCCCGCCTGGGTCTCTGCCTCTGTTCTCAGCTGGCAGAGCATCGCTGAAGGCCGCTGGCTGGGGAGCCACAAATGTCACCCACGTTTGCACACATATTTATGTTTTGCTGTGAAACATCATGATGTGTCTGCGCCGCTGGCAACGCTCACAACCAAACAAAGCAAAACAAAGCAAAACAAAGCAAAACAAAGCAAAACAGAGCAAAGCAAAACATCCCCTCTCTGGCAGCTCCCAACTCAAGGAGCTGGGGGCGATGCCAAGGCTGCCGGGGCAGGGCTGACCTGCGGGGTCCCTTGGGGGGCACCGAGGGCACGGGCTGGGCCCCGGCAGCCCCGGGGGGGCCGGTGCCTCTCACGCCCTCGCCCGTGGTGCTGCTGTGCACGGCCAGATCACTCGGCTGTCGCTGGCCTCGTGTCACCAAGCCAGCGCCAGCGAGCCCGACAAATAACTGTTTGCAGCTGTCATTAGCTGAAAACAAGGCGAATCTGCATATGCTCGGTCTTAATTAGGCAGCTTGGCAAGGAGCCCTCGCTCGCTGCTACCAAACAGCCATTTCGCTCACAAAAGGGTGACAGCAGCCCCGGCGTGTGCACCCGCACGCACGAACACACGGAGCGGACGGACAGACGCCGGCGAAGCCTCGTCCTGTCGCGGCCCCTCGGAGGGTGATGGGGCGGGGGGTGCCCGGCCCGAGCTGCCCCGAGCAGCCACGTCCCCAGCCCGGGACGCGCGACAGCCACAGCGGAGCTGACGGAAAAGGAACCCCAGGAATTTCGCCCCTCAACGCACCAGCGCTAATTACTCAACTCTCATTTACCTCTCAAAGGCACGGGCGCTGGCAGAGCTCGCGGGGGCATTTCCACGGAGCACGAGGAGGAGGAGGAGGAGGAGGAGGAGGAGGAGAGGAGAGCCCGTTCGGGACCCGCCGGGGCGGGCTCTGGCAGCAGCAGCGCAGCGGGGCTGGGTTGCAGCTCGGAACCGGCGAGCGCAGCCCGGCTCCGCGGAGGGAAAGCGGGTCACGGGCTCGGCGGCGACGCTGTCCCCCCGTGCCCGGCGTGACAGCCCGGAGAGCGGGGCAGCCCCGGGGCAGCCGCACCTTCCTCTCCATCACCATCCTCCTCCTCCTCCCGCCGCTGCCCAGAGCCCGGCGCGGCCCGGCGGGCGCTGCTCCGCTGCCGTGTGGGCTCTGCCAAGGTGCCACACTGGGCACGGGGCCGGGGCTGTGCCCAGGGGCACCGCGGTGCCCTCGGTGCCCGCGCTGCCGGCAGGCCGGGACACCGGGCACGGGTAACCCCGGGGATGGGCTGCAAGTGACCGCCCGGAGAGTCACCAAATCTTCGGCAAGAGCAGCCCCAAAGGCCGATTTTGGACAAAGCAATCCCGTTTTCCTAACCTGATGCCCTCCCTGGACATGGCAGTGCCAAGTTCCTGCGCTACCTTTGCAGCGCCAGATTCCAAGCTTTATCAGTTTACAGCACATTCTGCACAGAAGGGAATTAAAATAAGGCTGGGAATCATCAAAGCATTTCGCTTTTAATTGAATTGACTCCGAGATTACAGGAGGGAGGCCAAATGAAAGACAGTGACACCCAAGAAAACTCCGCCTGCCAGCCCGAGGCAAACACCAGCACAGGGCTCTGGGCGGCAGCGCAGCCCGGCCACACCACACAACCTCTTCAACACCTCAACAGGCTGAACTGGGCCTCGGGACAGACTTCAACCACAGCTTTCCAGCACGGGGTTACATAAAAACACATAATATTACTGGGTCTATGGAGCCATTCCATTAAAAAAGTTGAGAATTTGATTTCAGTGCAGCTTTACTCATTAACTTCAATCTCAATAGTAAAGCACTTAACACATGCCAGCTCAAGTCCCATTTCCCCAGTTCCTGAATTTTCAGTATCATTGGGCCAAAGCACTCAGAGAAGTCCAAAATCGATCCTGTTTTCCAGCCTCATCCTACAATCACAGACTGTGCCAAGGGAGACCCCAAGGGTGCTTTTCCAGGGCTCCCACCCTGCCCCACACACAGCAAACCCCTGCCAAGCACCTGTAGCTCCATCACCCACTTGTGCTTTTTCACGCTGGAAAGCAAAAACGGGAGCAGATGAACTGGAAACCTGCTTTTTCTTGGGTAGAAGACACCTGCAATTCACCAGGAAGGCACAAAGCCCTGGTGTGAAATCCAGCAGTGATCCTGGGGTGCTCTTGTTTTACCTCTCAGGGTGCTCAGTCTCTGACCCAGGATGCCCGAGGTGCTGGCTCGCCCCCAGGACAACCAGGGTGAACGTCCCTATGTCACCATTTCTGTGCTGCTCAGCCCTCAGGACGGCCCCTCTGCACGGTGGCACTTTGTGCCAGCAGGAAATGCCCCTTCCCCACACAGCATTTCCACCCCAAACTCTGGGCAAATCCCACGGTCAAGGGCTGCCTCTGCTCGATCCCGTGGTCACTGGGATATCATCGTGCCCTTGGTGGCACCCACTCCCCCTGTGCTGGCTTTGATGGCTGAGCATCACCTCCACTGCCACCTCCTTGTTAAAATGACACCTTAAAGTTGTCCAGCGAATGATTTCCATTGTCTATCTCCTGTCACTGCTCAGAGCAGGATCCTGCCTTTCCAGGCTTCCCTGTCCTGCCCCTTCTGAGCCCCACACACCACAGAGGGGTCAGGGCTGTCAGGTGTCACTGCCATGTCCAGCACTGACCTAACAGCTCTGTTTAGAACATCGACACCTGCTGAGCAGCACTGGGAGACAAAATGCAAATGACAGGGAGTTTAACCCTGTGTGCAAACGTGTGCTGCCAGATTCTGGTTTTGGCTGGAAGGGACCTCAATGACCAGAGCTCCAACCCCAGTGGACAACAGCTTTCCAAACAAAGCAGAACAAAGCAGCCACGGGGCAGCTTCGTGTGTGACGTTACCTGAAGCAGCCAGGGCCAGCGCCGAGAGGGGCTGCAGCTTTGGGGCCACGTCCCACCCTACAAGCCCCTAGCTCCTTGGCACACGGAGCAGCACACACCACCCCAGCACCTCCTCACCCTCCACCACGGCAGGTCCTGCCAGTTTTCCCAAAATTAAACCCCTCTGTAAGTTATTTTTCCCACACAATAGCTCCCAGCAAGCTTTTTCTCTGGCACTGCTGTCAGAATCCTGGAATGGTTTGGGTTGAAGGACCATGAAGCCCACCCAGTCCCACCTCTCTGCCACAGGCAGGGGCACCTTCCATTACACCAGGCTGCTCCAAGCCCTGACAAACCTGGCCTTGGACACTTGCAGGAAAATGGGAAGGGTTGGGATGCTCCCTGCTCACGTGCAACTCCCACTGGAAATCTCACATTGGATCATTTACTGAAAACTTTTTTATTGTAATCAAAAAGTGACATAACAGGGCTGTAATGTATTCTGCATTTTATCCGCTGGTATTTGGTAACTGGTACCAGCTGCTTCTGCCAGGCAATTAAAAAAAACCCGAATGTGAAAATCTTCACAGTACAGTAAACTCCACCCAAAATAATTAACGGTGGTTAAAAAGAAGATGCCCCAGCAAAACCTTTCATGTTACATGGTCACAACTCACAATTCTGTACAAAATGTTCACTTTTATAAAGCTCTGATGTAAAAATCAAATAATCAAGCAGCAATATTTTAAGTGCAGCACAGGGTCTTTCATGTCATTATTTACAACGCTTGAAGTCGTTTACATTTTAACAAAGATCATACAGATGACTTAGTAATTAAGTCATTTTTTCATTATCTGTCGGTTTATGTCGTGACAGATTTCACTTTTTGGTCGTCTTTCTCTTTATCTTTGCTCTTCTTCGATTTTTTCTTCTTGTGTTTGTGTTTTTGGCTCTTTTCCAATTCCGTTTCATTTCCCACGTGTTTCTTATGCTTCTTATGTTTCTTATGTTTCTTGTGCTTCTTCTTCTCTTTCTTCTTTTTCTTTTTCTTGCTGTCCTGGCTCTCCCCTGAGCTGGCACTGCTGCTGTGGCTCCGTGTCTGGCTCTCGGAGGGGCTGTGGCTGCGGCTGCGGCTGACGCTGGGGCTGCTCTGGCTCTGGCTCCTGCCCGCCTCTGGCTGCTCGGCGGGAGCCGGGGCCGCCGCCTCCTCTTTCACCTTCTCCACAGCCTTTTCCTTCGCCTCTTTGGGCGTTTTCCCCGCAGCCTCCTCGTCCTTTGCAGACACGTTGCTCTCGCTGTCGCTCTCGTTGTAGTCCGGCACGAAGGCGGCCTCGTCGGTCTCGCGGGTGAGGTCGGACGAGAGGCGCGCGGCGCTGCTCGCCGGCGGCTTGGGCTTCGCCGCGCCTTTATCGCTCTGAGCCGCCACGCTCTCCTTCTCCTTCTCCACTTTAACTTCTGGCGAGTCCTGTTTCACTGGCGGTTTATTCCCACCTGGCTCTTTCTCCTTATTGCTCTTGACTTCTGGTACGTGCTTCTCCTTCTCCTTCTCTTTGTCCTTGTCCTTGCCCGGGTTTTTATCCGGGGGTTTGTGCTCCTCGGCGGGGCGCTTGGGGTCGTGCGCGGCTTTGTGCTCGGCGGGCTTGCGCTCCCGCGGGGGGCTGTAGCTGCTCCGCTTGGCCTCCGCAGGGCCCTTCTTGGGCGGCTCCACGCGCTCCTCTCTTGGTTTGCTCTTCTGCGCTGCTGTGGAGTCTCTGATCCGGGACGGGGAGTCTTTCCTCCGCGCTGATTCGCTCTTCTCATCTCTGCGCTTGGAACTCGAGTGCTCCCTGCTGCCATCGTGGTCGGACTTCTTGTCTCGGTTGGGAGTGAAGTCCTTCGCGGCGGAGCCACGGCCACCGTCATGCTTCTCTGAAGATCTGCCATCTTTAGTAGACTGAGATACGGTTTTTCCGTTTCCTTGCTCAGCTGTGCGTTCTGAGTGCTCTTTTTCTGGCTGAACACTGCTCTTCCTCTTCTCAGAGCTGTCCTTGTCTGACAAAGAATGATCCCGGTCTTTGGTTTTACCTTTTTCACTCGAGACGGAACTTTTTGAACTCTTGGCATCGTGTTGGGTGCTTTCATAACTTGCCTCTTTTGCAGCTTTCTGTATTTTCTCCAGAGGCTCTGTCTCCTTTTCAGTGTGTTTGAGGGGGTTTGGTGCCTTTGCACTCACAGGTTTGATAACACTGGCGGGTTTTCCTATAGTTGGGGGCACCTGGGTGGTGGATTTGATGTCTTCCTCTTCAGACTCAAAGTCATCTTTATCCCACTTGGACTGAGGGACCTGGATCATGATAATGACATCCTCAGCAGGGGCTGTTATGTCGTTGTTATACTCCTCCAGGGTCTTAATGACAGTTCGTTTGGTGTCTGGCTTCTCCTCAGGCTTCCTGACAGGGCTTCCCCCAGTGGAACTCGTGCTGGGAGGAAAAAACATGGACATTAGTAGTGGAATGCACACACAGCCAGCTTTGGGAGCATTTTATAAACTGGCTTGTGTTTCAATTCTAAATTCTCAGCATTTTCCTCAAGGATGTTCAATTAAGGGAACAGACAAGAGAAAGGCTGAGTCCACTGGCTGAGATTATGAGCAATCAATTAATTTAGTATCTTGCTACTATACATTTAATTAACAAAGACACAAGATTATCAGATTGGGGACTGTCTGATCTGGTAATTCCTTCATGTCCTATTTCTCCCAATGGCAGATAAATTAGATATCCATTCTTCCTTCAACATGAAAGCAAGCAATTATGGAGAGGTACAGACAGACAAAGTTTTATCCTTATGCCCCAGTTCTTCCTTAGAAAAATGGACATTTTAAAAGCTTTTTAGATTATCAAGACACTTATCTTAAGTCTTCAACAAATGTCTTAAATGTTTTGAGTTCACATCACCAATGAATGAACCCTACCAGCTTCCCGTGCAGTACAAACTGCTCATTTTCCTTAACAACAGCTGAGACTGACCCAAGTATAGTCTCATAAGGAATATCAGGGATTATTCCTTTGTTTAGCACAAATTTAGCAGTTCCTTTCCTTAAGCACCATAAACAATTGGAGGGGGGGAGGAGGAGAGAAAGAAAAGGAAAAGAACTGCCTGAGGTACCTGGTGTAATCCACAAGAGTCGAGCTAGCGCCATCAGCTGCCGTCACTTTCCTCCTTGCTTTTCCCTTTGTCTTTTCTGCTTTGACTTTGCTGCTGCTGGGCTCAGGTTTCTCCACAGCTTCTTTTCCAGGTGGCACGTTTTCTCCGCTCACAATCTTTTTTCCAGTTTCTCGGTTCAGTTTAATCTTTTTGGATGGGTTGTTAAGAAAAGCAGCTTTATCCTTTTCCGGGGTCCGCTCTCCTTTCTCCCCCTCGGGCTCAGCCTTCCCCTTGGGTGATGTTTTCGATTCTGCAGTTTCGGGTTTGTAGGTCTTTGCAGAAGCGGCCTCATGTTCTTTATCAGCCTTTTCCTCTGCTTTTCTTTTCCTTTTCTCAAGTTTGGCATCTGAAAGTTTGCTTTTCTCAGCAGGCTTCTTTGACTTCTCCTCCTTGCTGGAGGGCTTCTCTGCCTTGGCTTCTTTAGGATGGTCTTTCTTTGCCTTCTCCTCCTTGGCTGGTCTGGTTTCTGGGTGATCCTTTGTCACTTTGGGATGAGCCTTTCGTGGTGTACCAAGACCCTTCTCATCCTTCTGAGAGGAAGAGGTTTTAACACTGTCTGTCTTTGGCAGCTCTTCCTTGACTTTTTTCACAGGAGGTTCCGCTCGAGGAGATTTTTCACGATCGGGGTCCACCTTTTCCTGGGAAGCTTTAGCTGGTTTTGCTACGCTGTCTTTCTTCGGAGCAGCCGCCACTTCTACTTTCCGCTTTGTTTTCTCAACCTTTGCTTTTGGCTTATCCTTCTCTTTTTTCTCCTTTTCAGACACTGGCTTGAAAGCAATGGAATCCGCTTCCATGGGCTCGTCCCTTACAGGGGTGGCATCATCCCTGCTTGGCAGCATGAATAGAGAGTCTGTTTTAGCATCTTCTGTTGGAACTGGCTCTCTTGGTTTTCTTGCTCCTTCTAACAGCTCAACATTGGGAAATCCTTCATTCTCATCCCCTTTTCTTCTCTTCCGGTGTTTTTTATGTTTATTGCCTTTGCCATCTCCCAGTGGATTTTCCACCTCCTTCTCTTTAGATTTTGTAGGATCTTTGACGCCATGGCTCTCTCTGCCAGGCTTTTCAGGGTAGTTTCCAGCTACATTACGATTCCTGTGGCTCTGCCCAGCAGGATACTCCTCCCTCCGTCCCCGAGCATACGGTGAATTCTCTCGTCTGGTCCCAGGTGGGCCAAACCGTTCTGGAGAGAAGTTCTCTCTGTTCACCGGAGGCCGTGGCTGAGCGCCCACGGCATAGCCCTTGTAAAACTTCTCGTACCACTCTCTGTAGTTCCTCTCCCACTCTCTGTATCTCTCCTTCTCAAAGGGGTCTCTGAAGTCCACCGAGCGGCCATAGTAAGCCTTCATGTCGTACGGGGGCACCTCTCGGTAGCGGTTGAAGTACTCGCGCTCGGCCTCGCTCTGCGGGACCGTCCGTTTGGTGGGGGACTGGCCCCGGAACACCGGAGACCTGGAGCGGGAGTGGTAGCGCCTGTACGGGGGCGAGCGGGAGCGGGAGCGGTGATAGCCGTGGGAGCGGGAGCGGGAGCGGTAGTTCCGACTCTTCCCTTTGCCTCGTCTCTGATAGGGCGGCGACCGCGAGTAGGAGCGGGAATGGGAGCGGCTGAAGGAGCGCGAGTAGGAGCGGGAGCGCGACGAACCTGAGCGTGACTTGGAGTAGGTGTACGAGCTTCTAGAGTAAGACGAAGCACTATAGGGAGACTTGGACCTTAAAAAAACACAACAAGAAAACCAGATGAAGTTAATTCCAAACAGTCTTTCTCCTCAAATCTTTTCCTCCCACATTTACTTTTTCTTTCCTCTCCACATGCTTATGTCAAAGCTTCTTTCAGCTGCTGACATAAAGCTACTGCAAATTGAAGAACTTGATAACACGTAAAAGTTTCCGCTCGCAAGACAGAACAGCTGCTGCTTTGTTAGTGTCAGAACACACAGAAGGGTCAGTCTACTTCCACTCACTCTACCACACGAGCTACAGACAGATTTCAGGTGGTTACACTGGCCTCTACTGGTACGGGAACACGCATGTTTGTCACTACTCGGCAACCACATGCAGTGCAAATCATTTTTGTTGCAGTAAGATGCAAAAAGAGCAAATCTGAGTGGCTACAGTGCAGAATCACACCAAGAAAACACCACGTAGCCTGAAGACAGCAAAGCCCAATGTTAAAACGCCAGCTCGGTCTATTAACTGCACCCTTTTTTGGGAATTTGGACAGAATGCACAATCCTAATACTGCAAAGGACTTACAGACAGGCCTGTGGAATCCACACTGTCAGGCAGGTGTCCCAAAAACGTCCTGCACATCCCTCCAGCTCTAACCAAGGCAAGTGACTGCATTGCAAGAAAAGTCTCATCTAAAAGCTTCTAACCTCAGTCTCTAGTCACATGCCCCAGTGCCATGACTCTGGGAAAGCTCCTGACAGCACTGCTAACAACTACTCCTGCCCAAGGGATTTTTGGGGACAGAAAACAGCAGTTACCCTCAGGTTTTTCTTCTACTATTTTTTAATGAATCATTTCACATGATTCGTATGTTCATTAGCATCAATCCTCCTCTCCAAGTCCCTCACCAATTTCAGATTTCCTTACAAGCAAGTCTGAGCTTTTAATTCCCGAGAAAATTTTAACAGTGTCACCCAAGAAGTGAAAGCCCCCAGTCTGCAGTCCAGGTTCAAGCATCTCATGTATCCACATGAGATGGACAAAAGCAGAAACGAGGACGATTTCTCTCACCTATCTCCTCCAAACTGCTTGGACTGCTCGGTTACAATCAGAATAGCAGAAACCCAGCCCTTACAGCTATTCTGTTCCTGGCCTCCTCAGGGCTGTCAGGCAGTGAAGGACACCACTGCAGAGACACCTCAGCAAGACAGATCCTTAGCGCTCCTTAGTGCCTGCTGCCCAGTGCTAATTCAGACACCTGCAATCTCTGCCACACTGGAGCCAATAACTTGCATATGACACTCCTGTCACTGCTCATCCCTCAATCATCCAATCCATCTAACGACAGGGAGGTGGAGTGGAACTCCTCCTGATTCCTCTAGACAATCTGCTTCTCCATTACGGACATGTAAAGCAGTTACCTGGAAAACGAACGCCTACGCTCCTTTTGAATCTTTTTATATTCCATCAATTCCTTAGCAAAATCATTTGTAAACTCATCAAGTTTGGACTTTTTCTTTTCCCTGTTAAAATAAGTTTGACCTTTATTACAATTATAGTTCGACCTTTATTACAAAAGACATCAAGAAACAAAACATGGCCAATATGAGAAAATGTTTACTGCATGCAACGCAAAAGGTGAACATCCTATTTAAGCAAAAACAGTTCCTACAAGTTTTAGGAAAAGTTCTAGAATTACATTTGTCTTGGTTTAGCTTTGCATATTTACCATCTGCAATGAAAAAGTATATTGGAAGAAACACTATGTCACTTTTGCTAGGTCAGATGCACTTTAGTGTAACCGCAGTCCAATACGCTCCCCCGATACAGACATGAAAACAAGGCAACGTTAGCGAGCCAAATACTTACTCCTCTTTAAGCCTCCGTTGCTCTCTGTAAAACTCCTCCCTAGAGAGAGGAGGTGCTTGTGTCGTTGGGATGGTGTTTGAATGAGCCGCTGGCACTGCTGTTGGGACCCAAGCTGATGACATGTTTGCAGGAGCTGGGGGATATCCGGGAGGGGGGACAGTGTACCCAGCGGATGGAGGCTGCCCAGGTGGAAACTGAGGAGGAAACTGTGGTGGTGGTACCCCCGGAGGAAGAGGAAGAGCATGGGGTGGTGGAGGATACAAGGGAGGTGGAGGCACAGGCACAAAGACTGGTGCTGATGCTGGCAGTGATGGGGCCTGAGTCCTTTGGGCACGGTCACTGTGCGGGCGTCCTCGATTTGAACTTTAAAGAAACCCAAAAACACGTGTCACTGTTTGTCACAGCCCGCCCTGAGCGTACCGAGGAAAGCGAAGTGGCAGCACGGCGGGAGCACTCCTGCTTCTCACTGGTCTCCGGCTTTCTGTTCACTCGAGACTACACTCAGTCCTGGAGCCTCGGACTTGCCTTGCACATCCTCGCCCCAGCGGCTCCCTCAGCCTTCTCTCCTTACACTCAGCTTTGGGACTTGGGCGAGGCTGCCACGAGACCCCCATCTCCCACGAGCCAAGCACCCACTGCTCCTCTGCCCTCCTGGACACACCTTGAGCTCCGCACTCCCGAGCTTCCAAGCACTGTGCAGGAACTAACTCACCTCTCAGGACTCTCCTAACCTATCCCACGTTTGTTTCCTGAGCTCCTGCCTCACGATGCATTGGCCTGTTCTTGGCCCTGAATTTGTTTATTTCTTGTTTACTGCATTTGAGATTTTAGATAATCTGGGGGATGGATGCTGGATTTTGTTTTGATTTGTCTTTCAGACTTTATAAAAACAATGACCCTTACAGCATGGCTGTAACAAATCTCTAACAAATGAAGGACTAATCTGACACCACGATAACAGATAAACAGGCTCCTCTCTCTAATGAGAAAAAGCAGCCTGGCACTTTGAGATGACTAAACTGCAGAAATACAAAACTGTCATAAAAATAACAGCCTCTAATGTTTCAATAATTTGCTCAATCAGTACCAACTAAGTTGTTAAAGAAGAATGTTGGAGGGTGATTTCTACTGGGAAATCAATTTCTTCAGCCCTATTCAGTCAGCAATCAAAAGGGTGCTTTTCCATTTGATCTTTTAATTACATTTAATTTTTATGTATAATTTAGGCTTCCCAAAAAGGGTTCATCATTCAGAATCTTCTTTTCAATTATGTACTGGAGTTTTATTTTTCAATAATCTTACTGTAAGCACAGGTCCCCTTTGTTAAAGTTAATTTAAATGAAGCCACTTGAAAATTAATTACCACTTGAATTCTCCACAACTATTATTTCATTATAAATCAGCTGTTGTCTAAGTGATGTGTTACAGATTAATTTACAACCAGTTACAACTAGTAATACATTAAATTTCTGTTGAATACTTACAGCTCCCAGCCTGGCCTGCGAAGTGCACCAGCTCTCATTGGATGACCTTTTGCAGCAGGGACAGGGAAAAAAAAAATCCCAGTAAGTTTATCTGAAGACAAATTTTGGGATGAAATTCTAAAGTTCTAGTTTCTTACCAGTTGTAGGTATTGATTGTCCTTGAGGGCCCAGAAGACTTGGTATCGCTGGTTGTCTCAGCACAGGAACCTGATAGCCCTTGGGAATAATTGCAAACAGTCACAAAATAAGCTCTACTAGAACATAAGAATCATTCTTTGTGTTGAAATAAAATTTACCTTCTCTTCCAACAAACTGCTGATTGACAAAGGGGAAGATTTGGAAAGCTCAGCAGCAGTCATCAGAGCAGGAGGCAAAACAGCATCGGCATCACTACAAAAACAACACATTTTATTATTGAAACACTGCTTTGAAGTGATATATAATATATATTTTTAAATATAAAGTCCAAAGTGAGAAAAGGCTGATTTCACTAAATGAAAAAAATATTTTAAAATAATCTTCACCAGATTTACACCTGTGAAGTCAGCAAGCTCAAGAGGAAGCACTGCTGAGGAGTCTGTTTGGATGTTGGCATTTAGAGAGGAAGCTCTCTGGAAAAGTATTTGATAAAGCATCACTTGAAAGGATGAGAATCCATATAACCTCAGCTTTGGAAGATGCAAGAACTGAAATTCCATTAGAAAATGTTTCTTGCTCATTTGAACTGTGATCCTTGTACTGATGGCACAGCTGAGCCTGGCAGCCCTCTGGACACACTGGCTCTGTGCATCCAAGGCAGCAGGGCTAAAGGGTGTAACCCAAAACACTGGGAAGAGATTTTTGCATGAAATTATTATTTCCTCAGTAATAAAGAGAAATTAAGGAGACACTAAGGGGAAATAAATGGCTATTCAAGCAATAGCTGGCCACTTCAAATCAAAACCATCCCCTCCTTCAGGGCAAACCTGCGCTGAATGACTGGTAGGGGAACCAAACAGAAATACTGCCAAGAAAATTCTTGCATGAGGCACATGTTCTGCTTACTGAAGTGTCCTCATTCCAAGTAAAAACAGAACCCCAACTTCCACAAGGACCTGCAGCCGTCACTAATGATACACAGCGTGCTAGCTGCAAAGCTCAAGAAAAATCCAACCTAACCATTTTGATTTCTTCTGCATTGCTGCTGATCTCCAGATCTCCTTACCGAAAAGGTCCATCTGGCTTTTCCCCACGGAGAGAGAGGGACACTGCTGGAGGGAGATCGGAGACAACCACAGAGGACGGGTTGACCGGCAGCCCAGCTGCCATGGACGGCCCGGGGCCCAGGGAGGAGAGGGCGGAGCGGGAGGCCAGGGAGGCCAGCGGGATCATCAGCGGGTCCTGCTGCCGGGCCATGGCCGGCCGCATCAGCGGCTGCAGGGTGCGCGTGATCGTCTGCCGCATCAGCGGCGGCGGCGGCGGCGGTGGCGGCGGCAGCTGCTGCTGCTGCTGCTGCTGCTGAATCTTACGGAGCCTTTTCGTGTAACCGGTTTCATTTTTGAAGTTGTTGACGGCCTAGAGGTAGGGAAACACGTTTGAAAAGGTGATGATAAACTTCAGTAGATATATGAACATAGCATTTCTACAGGAAAATCGCTGTGTGCTCCTCTAAGTGCTATTAATCCCAAGCCAACTAACACACAGCTCTGAACACATCCCGTGGAACTCTGGTATCAAGGACTGGTACCTCAGAGTCTCTGCATTAAAAGTACTTTGCTGTTAACACCCCATTTGAAAGTGAGGGCATCCCATTAAACACCAGTGTGCCCTGAATTTGCCAGATTGCCTCTAATGAGCAGTAGGCTTCTGTAAAAACAGATAATGTATTTGAAAAGTAAGCTTAGCCTTGTTGAGTTCAGCCTTGCTCAAGGAGATCTAAATTAATACTTTCATCCCTTTCAGCTCTTTACAAACAGATTTTTCTAACAACGAGTTCAGAGTAAAGTCACATTACCTGGCGCAGAAACTTATTGGCGATTAAAGCATCAGGAGAAACATCTGTCTGATGGCAGGTAGGGCATGTGTGCTCCTCGGACTCCAGCAGTGCTGTTCTAATACCTGGGAAAAATTAGAATATTAGAGTAGTTTATAGCCAAAGTAAGTAAACTTTTTGGTTCTCGTTAATTACAAAAACAAACATATGATTAATGGTGAAATATGGTCTTAAATGGAAAGCATGACGCTGTTAATATTCTATAGTGGAAAAAACTGGCAGAGGAACAGGCTGCCCAGAGAAGCTGTAGCACCCCTGGAAGTGTTCAAGACCAGTTTGGATGGGGCTTGGAGCAACCTGGGCTAGTGCAAGGCCAACCCAAACCACTCTGAAGTCCTACAACAATTTCTAGCATACAGCAGAGGGTCAATATTTCACTGTGGTAGTATGTAAAGATGCAGAGCATACTGACATGTGACAGCTCAACTGGTCTTTTTTCCACTTTGGTACAGCAAAAAGTCATTTCATGTTAATGAATAAAACATATTTCAAAAACCCATGAGGAGGTTTGATTTCTGAAGGTTTTGATCAGCTCTAGGGAAGCATGTGGATGAAATGCCTCAATATCAGTTCTTTGTAGTCTGCAGTAAGTGCCAAAAGTTGGAGACATAATTCTGTGTGAGGGAAAGGGCTGTGGACAAAATAAATGCATTCTACATCTAATACTGCAACCACCTGCACTAATGCATTCCCCTCATCCTCTTCCTTCTGCAGGTACAGAGGATTTAACTAGAAACTTAAGGAGGGAAAAAAGCTTTCTACCTTTTTTCCACTATCTACACAAGAAGAGTCTTTCCCTGCTCACAACATGCTGAAATATTCAACAGAACTAACACAGCAATTTCCTTATCTCCTATTTCTGCTCTCAGAAGATCAAATTTGATGTCTGGAATTAACAAATTTGGCAGCAACACTTACATTCATCACAGTAACTGTTTCCACAGCAGGGAATAACAACCGCATCCGTCATTATATCCTTACAAATGAGACACAACAGCTCATCTGGAATTGGATCATCTTCTTCTGAGGAGGAGGATGGCTCCTCAGGTAGGAAGGGAGGCTTCTCCTTCTTTCCTATAGCATAAGCTTCCCTGGAAGTAGAGTGGGGAAAGCAAAAGGAAGAAGTTAAAGGGAAAACTCTTCCAAGCTTTGAATTTTATCAAAGAAAGATAATATGTGGTATTCCTCTCCCTCTCCACCGGCCTTCCTAAACACAGCTGTTTAGTTTGAACCACTTTTCCATAGCCCTAACACAAGAAGAGGGAGGGAGGAATTCTCCTGCAGAACTATCCAGTTCATTGGATCAACTAAGAAATCAGTTCAGACTAGAAAAACATTTGACAGCTCCTATCAGGTGAATGAATCCCAGCTCTCCTTTGCCAGAGGCTAAATGTAAATTGGAGGCTGAGGATAAAGCTGGTCTCCCAGTAATGACATTTTCCAACTGAAAGAAGTCTGTGTTACAGCTTCCAAAACAGGACATCCAGGTGAGAAACCAGAAGGGCTACCAAGAGTATTTTAGAACAGCCACTGTGCTCAGCACACACAAGTGTTTTCCTAGTTTATAGCAACAGGAAAACTTAAGCCTGCTTCACATCTGAGGGAGGGAGTCACAGTCCAACAGCTGCTTTATTACATTTTACATGAAACCTTTGAAAGACAAGCTGGAAGCAAAAGGAACTCCCAGAGAGAACAATCCAAATTACAAATGCTGCTGAAATGTTCTGCAGAAATAGTCTCAGCACACCCCACGTTTAACCAGCTCCCAGGGGTGTGAGCAGACTTTAATGTTAGCCAGCAGCACGGATTTGAAAGCTGAGATGCAGTGCCAATGCCTCCTCCCCACAATTCCAGATGCTGGCCAATGTGGCTGCACCTCCACTGGTGCATTTCTGCCTGGTAGGAACACTCTCACTCCCTTTTGGGATCAGCCCAACCAATCCCATACTTACGCATCTATGGTTGGAATTGCATATTTCCCAGTGTTGGTCAGCATGGCACCCTTTGTGTTGGGGTCCTTCACCTCCATCATAAAACTTCTTGGAATTCCTGTGCTTTTTTTAATTCTGGGAACAGACTCGAAGTTTTTGTCCTGTTAAGAAATGCAGATGTACCTCAAGACCCACACTGAAAATGAGATTTCAGTGACTAATTTTAAGCACAAAAACCTTTAACCCTCTCCTCTTACCTAGTGTAAGGGTTGTTGGACTAGAATACTCTTTTCCCTAAACGAATGCAGCCAGGGTGTTCCAGAGGCTGGAGCAATGTTTTGAACTCAATGACATTCTTTGGCTTAACTACAGACTCCTTAAGGGTGAAATCCCTCAAACTGGCTCCTCCTCCAAAGGGCAATTCAGAGGGAGCTGCACTCAGGGCTTGGAGAAACTTTTTTTGAGATATATCAAACACAGGGGTTCACAGAGAAAGATCTATGGGAATGTTTAGTGCCTCTGACCTAGCAAAAAGAAAATTTTACAATTCCAGGTTTTTCTTAATTCCAAAGGGTTTTGCAAGCACTGCCATGTAACCTCTGTATTCCACACCAAAAGACACAATTCTTACTGTGAGTATTCATGCTTGTTATATAACTCTCCAGATAAAAATTAAAAAGCCAGCACCCCCCAAGTCCCCCAAATCTTACCCCATTCGTTGGACAGTTCTTTATGTAGTGCCCAGGTTTGCCACAGCGAAAACAGGTGTAGGAGGGTGGAGGTGGCCCCACGGGTTTCTTCATGTAACTGCAAGTTTTTGGGGAAAAAAAAGGAAAAGAGATTCATGTGTCTCTCTTGTTTAAAACAAACCATCTCTACAATTTTTACATCAACTTCAAAGAGCAAGTTTCACGTTAGCAACACTTACTTGACTGGATCATATTCATGGCCAGACTGTGTCATCATAGCTTTTATTTTATCCTCCTCGGAAGCATTGGCTTCAGCCAGATTGGCAGTCTGTGCAACAGGTAATTATTTGACACACACATTAGAAACACATTTAAGCCCACGCAGCCCAAGACAACACCACTCATCCAATCCTGTAAAGAGCAGCACTACACTAGCTGAGCTTGCATGAGAGCAGCTGCTTATACCAAACAGATTTGTGCTGAAGATGGTCTGGGGAGTCCTTATGCCATGACATGATGTTTATGTGCCTGAGAACCTACTAGAAAAGAGCACTCTTGGGCACTCAAACCTTAGGCTCTGTTTGTACCTTACAGCAAGACTGGTGTAACCAATCCAATTTCCTTCAGAGGATTGAAGCTACGTGTAGATAAACAACAATATCCAGTATTTTTACACTGATTTTTAAGCTCCAGACTATATTCAGGAGAAGCTCTCCACTTCAAGGAATTAAGATGGATACAAGCAGCATTATTTACATTTTGTAGTATTAAAAGGACACAGAACTGCAGAGGTGGGCAGTTACGTTTGTTTGCTGAAACTCAGCTTCAGACACACAAGTATTAAAAGGACCAAAGGATTTTACAATCCCTCAGCAAGGCAAAATTCTTTTCAGCAGAGATTTGCTCAGCAGGAGCTGCAGGCAGTGCAAACTGCATGTTCCCCCTCCCAGCTTCTTCCTGTGAAGTGATTTAACTACAGTGAAGACTATCTCAGTTTTTTTTTTCCAGTTGACTATGTCCTTTTAACACACAAATTGTAATATAAACCTTCTGCACAACTAGACCTTCAAATTACTGAAGCCAGCTGATTTTTAAGCTGTATTTGTTCAAATGTTTTTATTACACACTAGTCCAGATACAAGCAGGGTCTAAGGGAGTGACTGTAAATGACTTGGGCCTTCAAGCACCTATCACTCAGCTCAAGCACTCATGGTTTGGTTTTGTATGCATTCATTCACAAAAGCAACCAACTAGTTTCAACATTTTATTAAACGGTTGTTTCATATACACAGTTTCTCCACAGTAACAGAATCCGGATCGCCAACTATGAAATAATTTCCATTAACAGTTACAGAAAACTTTACAGATAATACTTGACTAATTTGTTTGAACCCAAACGGTTTACAAAACACATCCAAAAGCCACAAAACATTAGTAGGAATAGACCAAAATTCAAATATGGCATTTCATACATAGTAATAATCACCAGAGAACTGTTAACACATTGCCTCTGTGCTGAGCCGGGCTGCACTAGAGCCATTAGAGGGAGTAACAGTGCTGAGCCACTTGGTGTCATCTTCCTGCATTTCTCTGAACTATCCTCAAAAGCTTAAATGTGTACCCCCACCCCTTGGACAGCTTTGCACACTTTAGAGTAAAACTTCACATGAGGTTACACACCCGAGGACACATTTAGGGACAGCACTAATGGGGACCAATTCTTTGGGTGGCTACCTTCCAAACTAGAGATATTTATCTATATAATGGGGTGTTTTTTTTTGGCCAAATGTATACAATTTAATTTCTGTAGTGAAGAGGGGAAAAGTTACCAGTGGGAAGAGATTTCTTTTTATTAGAAATGAACTCCAGCCTTTACCTTGATGACAAGGAACTAGCTGCTCTGCCTCAGGCCCTGCCTAGCCTACTGCCTGCAGCTTTAGGGACTGGTGGTTGAGCACTCGGCTGTCCACACAGTGCAGTCACTAGTGCTTTCCCAGACAAATTACACATTGGTGAGCAAAAATGCAAGCAGTTCCCGAGCAAAACATGGCATTACAACAGTTTCAAAAGGTCACAGCTGCTCAGATGCCACACATACACATTGGTATATTCCTATAAACAATGAGGTACATTTACACAATTTACACAGTCTGCGTTCAAACAAATTAGGTCGGGTTGTCCACTGTATAGATCCCACAATTTATGGAACTGTGCAGCATTCAGAGAATGGGTCTGTAACTATGACTAGGGGTTCAAAAATAGCCATGCAATTGTCCATGGTACAGAACCGCTTCTCCTGTGGCTGGTCACACCCCCCTGGAATGTCCGTAACTTACAGCCAATTAAATTCTTCTGTACAAACTGGGTTAGTTTCCAAGGCAAAATTAATGAAACGTATGAAAAACGGTAAAACAGCTTCTGAAGAGCTTCTTCCTTGTGTCTTGAGGATGAGTAATACTGCAACATTATGCTGAGGCTGATAAGGTACTCCCCTTCTATCTTCCCAAACTGGGAACTACTCTTTACAGGATAGTATCAAAATGTACACACATTTTAAAGTTAAAATAAATACTTTACGTTAATAAAAATTAAAGGGGGCTTTCAATTACAACAGTTATTTACCTATAGGTCACAGTATCAATTTAAATATAGGAAGGAAACACTTTTTAAGTATTTGACAAGAATATATATATATATACCTTAGTAAGCTGGGCCAGAGAAATAGATGCAGAAGAGTCATCAATCTGTTCACAAAAAATTAAACACATATTCAAGTTCTACAGTCAAAACACAACAACAGTTAACCTCTACTACAGTCTGAATGCCTGCCCTACATCCCCCTGAGTGTCAAAGGAAATCCCAACCCAGTGTAATTTGTATTTATTCAAAACAAAGTCCCAATCTATGATGGCTTAAGAGTATCTACGTGCTTATGAGAAGAAGTTAAAATAACCAACCCCACTGGAGATCTACTTATTGCTCAGAATATCTCAGAGAGGGACCTCTTTCAAAAAGGTAATGGGAAGCTGTCAATTTTCAACTAAAAAGGGTTTAAAAATATTAAAGTTTAATTGAGGAAGAAGTATCACTCCAGGTAACACAGTATTAGTGTAGTTTGCAAATGAATCAGTGAATGTCTCATCATTTCCATATGAACACAGTGATGATTTTGTAAACCCACATCTGCTTGTCAGAATGAAGGCCATGCCCAGCAGCCCCGAAACACACACTCTGCCCCTCCTGTCAGTACCCAAATGAACCCAAGAAATGCCAATCTAGAACAGCAGCCACAACTTGCCACTTCTTCTGGAAAAAAACCAACTGCTTAAATCATTTATATAAAGGTGTTTGTAATGACAGAGTAGGCTATAAAAACTGAAAGACTGATTTCTTGTATGTTACTAGACCACAGGCCCTACCACCCAAATCATGAGAATTTAGAGGACTCCTTGCAATCAGACCAAACCTGATCTTTACAGCAGCCCAGTGCTAAATGAACAAAGGAAAGTGCAAAGCATACTCTTGATGATAAAAACATGGATTCAGAGCACAAGCCTGGAATTTTTGTCTCCATTTTTCTCCTCCCAGCTGCCTGTGGAACAACTCTCAGGACTGACGTCCTCAGGCTAGAAGCCAGACTAGTGCTGAAGAACAGTTTTGCCACAAGTAAAAAGGTTAACTCGATCTAGTTCCTTCTGCAGTACACTGAATTTTATCATTCCATGAGCAGCACTTGAGCTAGCACAACACTACCAGAAAGATACTGGAATCACTGCTTATTACATCTAACTTGCTCAAAAATGTAGAATAAAATTTCACAATGTGAACTGAACAGCTCTCCAAGAAGTCACTAACCATGTCAGCAAAGAGATTAAAACCTTTCCTTGAAAAAGGTTTTGTCCTTTACAACCTAATATAGCACAGAATTCGAGGGAACAGTTTTAGCAGACTGGGAAAAAGCATTTCCATGCACAAGATGATTCCTCACACCACCAAGTTGTTCCTGTTCTGTGTTTTCAGGAAAGTACACACAGCATTCCTGCACTGCTGACTAAAGAGCTCTTGAGTCTTTGAGCCTAAAGTGTCTTTGAAGAGGAACACAGAGATCTAGACAAAAAGACCTTCATTCCACTACAAGATGCACCTCTCCTTCCTTCCAGAATGCTTTGTACCTAGTTCTGTTCAAAAGGAGGTCTGCACAAGCATTTTGAAGCTTCACGCTCCATATGCCACTCTTTTACATGTGAAAAAGCAGACCAGTGCTCTCTCAGGGCAAGCACAGCTGTAATTTTGTGTTTTTTTCAGAAACAAACAAGAAATTAGGAAAGCTCTAGCGTTAAATAGTCTAGTACTGACCAGGAACTGATACACAAACAGTTAATAAACTATTCATTCTTCCCTCTATTTTTTCAGGAAGCTGCTACTATACAGCCTGCAGGCAACAGTCTAATTTCTTAAAGGAGGTGATAGTGAACAGTTACCAGAAGCAGCAAACAGACAATTAATGTACTCTCCAGTGCATTTGCCCATGGCCATCCTTCAACCATCCTACATTTTTTCAAATTTTTTTCCTTTTAGATTTCTACCGAAGTATTTCCTGGCAGTCCCTCAAAACAGTCAAGTAGAAACAACATCTCCATGAATTGTAGGCAACCCTAAGGTAACACTGCAGAAGTATTGTTAAAAAAGCCCAAAAGACAACCCAGAAAAAGTAACCCCCAAACCCTAAACTCAACAGCTGATGTTTTAACTCCCACGTTGTGCAGCAGACTGAAGAGAAACTAACAGGAAGCCAAGTGGGCAAGAGGACAGAGAAGAGGAGGAAAAGGCTGATCTCACTGCTGGAGTGCTACACTGAAGTGACAGGGCTGTCCCCAAAGGCAAGCCTGGCACACAGAAGGGCAGCCAGGAGGCTCCAGCTGTGCCCACGGGGGGCGCTGAGCCCCCGAGCTCGGCCCGTCCCAGCCTCCAGGCAGCCCCAGGCACCGACCCTACAGCACAAAGGCTGGGCCAGGGCTGGGATGACAATGAAAAAACGCTAAAGAGAAGAAGCTTTTGTGCATCCATTAAAAAAATAAAACTGATTTTAACTTTGCAGCTTAACTCTCCAGCAATAACTAACAAGACTCCTAGTGATTTACTCCAACTGCACAAGACCCAGCTTCTGCTCTGAAATACATGCAGAAATATTTGTGTTTAAAAAAAAAAAAAAAAAAAGGCAAACAATCCCCCCACACCAAGACCTGAGTTAGCTTTAAGAATAAACTCTTTGTGTCTCTAGCCCCAGAAGCTGCTGAGGCTGCAGGGCTTTTCCAGTGAGAGAGGGCCTGTACAGAGGGATGCAAGCCTTCCACCCTCCCAGACCAGGGACAGTCAGAGCACACCAGGCAATGGCTTTGCTTCTCCTTTCTTGCTGTTAGTTCTCACTCACACTGTTTTCCCTCCCACTCTGGATTTCTCCTTTTTTCTTTTTGACACATCTACGTTAGCTTATGGTAAGATGCTGCTGAGCAATGTAATACAGACATGCCAGGGAACACACGAGGCTAAAAGAATGTTAACTTTATTTATGAACATGTGGTTTGTGTTTATACACATGCTAGTAAACAAAAAGAAAAAGAACTGTTTTCAAGAAATAAAAACCCATCTGAATTAGATCAAATACTATAAACGTGGTTTACATAAATGCATTACATTAACTGCTAGGGTCACTGGCCAGTGCAACTAACTCCAACTCACAATGAGAGGCATTCATCTCCAAAAGGAATTGCAATCAATCAGCAACAGAATTATGGATGTTACATTTAGTGGTTTTAGACCTACACACAGTAAGTTTGCAATTTGAAGTTGATTGTTTCCATGAGAACCAGAGGCTGTATTCTTCCCAGAACACAGCCCCAGAGTTCAGGAATTTCTAGATTAAGTTATCCTAATAGCTGATCAAGTGATCAGAACCAATGATCCAGGATTAGTGTAATGCCTCACACCAGTCTAGTGAAGTAGAAGCAGTTATACTTAAAATAAAGATAAAAAATGAACCCCACCAAACAGTACTTTGATACTCTAAGGACTACTGGAGAAGCACAGTTGCACACAGTACTGACCCAAGTGGCACACCAACATCTAGCCCATCACCAGGCACGGGTTTCCGTGTGGGATTATATGTTAGCAGCAGTACAAGTGTTTGCAAACCTGAGGGAAAATGCTGCTCCTTTTCCAAATGTGAATTCCACGTGGTGGTATACTAAAGAAAGGCTTAACCTTTGGGAATTACAGCAGCAGCCAGCCCTGGAGTCACCCAGACCCAAAAATGTGCTGCAGGCAGAAGTTAAGAAAAGTGACAGGGATTTCACTCCCAAATGCCCCAGGCTCTAACTTGGTGCCAAAATTTGTGTTACATATTGTCATTTGCAGACAAACTGCTGAACTAAACTGCTTTACCAGATAAAGGGGAGAGATCAAATGCAGAACTTTAGAATACCACTCTGTGTAGCAGATATTGAAATTCACGTCAGGCTATTGAAGACATTTCTGTGCTCAGGAGGGCCCAAACAATATCACTTCAATTACACAGTTTCAGGAACAAATACCCAAATATTTAAGGACATAAGAAGGAATCATTTAGCTGCACAGAACTGTCCTGAAAACATCTGGGATATGCTGGGTTTGGTATTTGTTTGAACCCCCAAGTCAAAAGTAAGGAACAGCACCAAGTTTCACAATAATGATTTCTCAGTGGTTTTTGATAACATTTTCAAAAACCATTAGGCAAAAAAAGGTATTTAAAAACAAAAGCTAAGTGATACAATGTGAAAATGGCAAAAAATACACTCCAAACAGTTTTTATTGCAAGAAACAAAAAGCACACAACAACCTATACAAACATACATATCACTAGCTATAGACAGACAGATGTAGAACATGGCACCATGTTCAGTGTGCAAACCTCGAGCCTACAGGATCTGGAAACGATCATACATTATCTGTACAACACAGAGTCATACAGGAGAGATTCTGGCATATTCAATATGAAATACAATGCATTACTAGGCACAAATACCAATATTCACATTAGAACTCTGCAAATGATGGCATTACCCAGTTTTTACTATGCTGAATCAAATACAATGTATTTACAACATACACTAGGTTTTACTAGAAAATATATTAAGTTAACGTTTGGCAAATTAATAAAAGGCTGCATTGTTTAGAACTAAGTGCAGTGTGTAGGAAAAAAAGTGTGAGATTGTGTTTTTACATACTGCTTTTGATGTTCCACTCACTGGCTCACTTCGACTTCTAGAAGAAGAAATAAAGGTGATCAGAATTTAAAACAAATCACATATACCCAACACAAAGATTCCAGAACCTGAACATCACATTATGCTCCAATACTCTAGTGAATGCAGACATTTATTTGTAACATAAACTGTCCTCTCGGTACATTCGGTGCAACTAAAAAACTCCCCAAAAATCACGTTTCTACATCGTCACAAATTACTCAAGACTTACAGATCTAGAACACAACAGTGCAAGAGGAAGTCACGAGACATTCTGTCTCTGCTCTCTAAGTATCAAATCCATGAAGTGTGTACCAGAGTTCTGTTCTCAAATAATCAATCACCAAAGCAGGGGGCAGCTTTGGCCAACACGTACATCCCTGGTAAGGCACACAGGTACCAGGTACAGGGCTTCAGTTTCTGTGAAAGAACACTGATAATCTACAAGTGCAAGTTTGCTCAAGTGAAAAACACAGTCACGTGACAAAGGGGCAACATAACAGTGTCAGCAGCACTGAACAGTGCCAGGACAGCGTTTCTTTGTGGAAGCCCAAGCACTGTGTTCAGAGATCTACTATATTTAGCCATCAAAGTGCCAAAATATTAAACACGTTACATATGCTATATTGACTAAAAGTAGTAGTAGAAATGTCACCTGAAAGTAGTTTCTAGGATTTTGTGCGATTTAGGAGTCCTGTGACAAAAAAAAAGGTCTTAATTGCCAGAATTTGCTATAAGATAATCTTGAATACGTTACAATATTTTAGGAAATACGTATTACATTTGAAAACTTGCTGAGATTCCACATACTCGGTGGTCTAGACCTGCATGCTCCTCACCAAGAACCAGACATGCAGCCACTGAGAGAGCTAACAAACAATCCAGGCACCATCCAAAGAGTCCCATGAGCAGAAGCAATGCAGAGGCTGCTGGGGCATTCGCATGCCAATGGAGAGGCTCAGCTTCCTGCCACTGCTGAACACCCCCAGGCTCCCAACCACACCTCCCCAAGGTGAGGAAGTACATACTTGGGATTTCCACACCATAGCTGCTCCAGCCATTTACTGCAAGGTGAGTAATGCCTTTCTGCAGGCCTCTCAGCATGCCAGCAGACATTCCCCAGCCCCACACATTAACCACCCTACCAGTGGTTTCTGCAGTGTTTCCAGCTGGGGAACAGAAGGCTCATCTGCCTGGTTAATTTTCAACTCTACCACAGCAGTGCTGTTCTTTCCTGATCCCCCCACGCCAGTACTGACAGAATCTTTGATGCCAGCTTTGACTCTCTGGAGGGCTTTACAGCACCAGGCGAGGTGCACTGGCAGGACAGACTCAGCTGAAATGAGCCCCAAAGCAAGGCTGTGTTTACAGGCACAAAGCTGAGGGGGCAGAATCCCGAGGGAGAGCAGGGAAGCACTGCACCAACTCCTGCAGTAACATGCCCCAAGGTTACATGCAGAGCCACATCCATACAGGGGTTTTTGATTGCAAACGGTTCATGGGTACCAGGATGCTGCTGTATTGTTTGTTCAAGACACACTGTAACTCCTCAGGGTACTTTCTTGAGAACCAACATTAGAAAGACATGGCAAAACCACAAGCTAATAATATCTCCTGCTGGTGGTGAAGAGGCATGGCTTTAAGGAGGTTGAAAAACCTCCTTAAATGCCCATTCCAACAGAGCTGATGTAGCTATTATAGATCTGGACTGTATGAGAACATCAATGCAGCCATAATCCTGAAGTCAGGATTGAATTTGAGTATCTGTGATTTTAATCAATACTGAGGACAGAGAATCAGGTGTAAACCGTAGAAATACAGGACTAAAACATGGAGCACAGATCCCAGCTGGGGTACAGACAGACTCAGAAAGGTAACCAGTACATTTGGTAATGTGCTAGACTGCTTCTGAGATTTGAGTTTGGACAGCATTAACTGTTTCTTCATGGTACTTGCACAAAAGTACCCTTAAGGGTATGGTTCTTTTTCTCTTGCCTCAAACAGACACTGTGTGTTTAGGAAGCACACAGGGATCACTTAGGAATGAAACTCCTTGTTTGCACAGTTCACCAGCTGGCAACCCTTGATCTGTTCTCTACAACTACTACACAACCCCCCTAGATCTGAGGCAGAACAATACCTGTCATACCCTGCCCACCCTCCCAATGCAGGTGACAGTCCAACACTCAGAATCAAACTCTTCTGAGACATGAACAAATGCTGAGTTCACACTACAACGCCTACCTGTCTTCGTTAAAAAGGCAGACACATATTATAAGGAATCTCCCCATGTAGAGGAAACAGGAATCTCAGAAAATTTGAATCTCAGAAAAATAAACTCCAAACCAAACTCAATAGAATCATCTCCAAATATATCACTGTTGGTGTTTGAACACCAAAATCTAAGTCTCCTTTGGGAGAGCCCATTGAAAGCTACCCCATGACAACAAACACCAGCAGCAGTTTTAACAAGCGAGTTACAACCCGAGTGCCTCTGCAAGTGCTGTCAGTAACAAGGTGGGCACACTGACCCCTCCCCAAGAGAGAATGTTTGCAGTACTTACATAACGTATGTTTTGCTGGTAGCTTTAACTCCTCCAATGGGAATTCTCCTCACAATCACCGATGAGTTCTTGGGAATCAGAGCAGTATCATCGGTGTATTCTGGAAACAACATCAATACACAAAAAACATTAGTCAATTTGTAAGAATGTATTTAATATGTAATTACAGAGCACTTTTGAGAATTCCTTTACAGATCTAAAAGCAAAATTTTATACATAACATTAGGCTTTCATTCTCTCAACACACCAGCAGCACCTGTCAAGGAATCTTCAGGTTTGATTATCAAGCACAAGCAGCAAAATCATTTTCAGTTTCTAAAGTTAGTTTGAATGCCAGGAGCAAAATGGTTTCAAACTACACTAAAGCAGAGTAATACAATGCATGAAGTTTTTCCCTGATCTGTTTTAAGCTGGTTTAGCTTCTGTCTGGCTACGAAACCAAGAGATCTCTGGAGAAGAACAAACCAAAGCCAAGCCTCACCTGCATAAAACAGATTGTAAAGTCTGTGACTGCTTGTCCTGAACAAACCAGGAACCAGCTAAAGCAGGGAAAACTGCAGCAGTGCTCTCAGCATGTTAAGTATACCTGACTCCCCTCTGCTGCCCTGCTCAGGCCTGACAGAACAGCAGAGGCACCAGTTCTGTGCTTGGAGCTGCTCCATTCCCAGCCAGGCTGGGCAGCTGCTCAAGGCCCGACAGAGAAATGCAACTGAAACTGACAGCACTGGAGTTTGGAGCACAAAAACTCGGCGGTTTCTGAGCCTGCTTTCACAGGCAGGACAAGAAGTGGCTCAAACTAAAGGGACAGCCCTCCCCTTTAAGCTCACCATCCAGTCTGAATTAACCAAAGAGATACAAGTTCTTTCCACTCACTCTCTGTAGAGAAGTGACTCAAAATGACTTCTGAAGGCAGCCTCGAAAAGGCTTTGGAAAACAGCCTGTGCCTGGAGCCATCCCTGCTCTGCCTGGGCCTGCACTGTGCTGGCTGTCCAAAAAGAAGAAAAGCCCCCTGACCTTTTACATAAGGCCCAAACAAAAATCCAATTCTCAGACACACTTTGAATAAATTTAAAATGCAAAGCCCTCTCCATAAGAATGGTTTTTACATGAAACTTACACAGGCTGGATATGACTAAATTTTGTAAAGCACCATGAGAAGTCCTTCCCTGTGATGTGCCTGCAGTGTTAGTTATTCCAATCCCCTACCACTGCAGACTGAATCAGAGCACTGGTCTGAAACCCAGAGCTGTTATGTACCTAGTCAAGCTTTGTCAGGATGAGTTTGCTCAGTGATCACACACAAAATACCAGTACCTCACAATTTATGCTCCATTTTTCAGTATATTATTCCTACAGGCATGAACCTCCTTTAGACCAAAACATACCTAGCAGAAGACATCACTTCAACCATGAAATTAAAATTTTACTTCTGTTTCCAACAAATAAAACATTTCTTCAGAAAACTGAGAAATCATTTAGCTGAAACTAATTCCTGATCGTCCCCGCAGGGAACCAAACAGTGAGACTCCTCTGGACTGCAGAGCAGTTTACAGCTGTGGCTGAAAGGACTAGCAGTGACAGAAACAGCAGCTCTGAAGTCACATCCTGACAAAGCCCTGGAGCTCTGCTCCTCACACAGCCACCTGTCAAAGAGGCCACACTGGGACTTTCTGACACAGAAGGAGCTCAAGCAGTGCTGAGGCCGAGACAAACACCTGGAAGATGATGCCAGCTGCAGTTCTAGAAGCCCAGAGCAGCTGTTTCTTCTTGTGCCTGTCACTGTCTCTCCATGACTCCACACCTCAAGGTGAGCAGTGAGGCCAACTCCACACAGCTACTGCTCACACGTGTCCAAGCAGAGCTCCAACAGAAACGCTCAAAGCTGGAGGCAGCAGCATTGTTCATTCCCACTCCCATTTAGCACAAACTTGTTTTACCACCAGTGATGGGAAGTGGCCACTGGAATTTCTCAATCTGAACTGTAATTAAAAGTATCCAACTAACCCAAAATGTCTGTAAAAACAAATAAAGATCTGGATATCAAAGCTTAGAGCAGAAGAGACACATCAGTCTAAAACTTGCTGCTTATCCTACAAGAAAAACTTGCTTGTTTATTCTACAAGAAAACAGTAGCTTGAAAGAGGCCAGATAAAGAAGTATTTCAAGGCATGAATGGTGGCAAACTAGTTAGTCAGCTGACTGCTGCCTCACACTGACACAGAAATCTGACATCAACACTGTATTAGTGTTCACAACCTTCTTACAGCTAAGTGCAAAGAGCTCAGATCTGCTGGCAAGTTTGTGCTGCTTCACATTGAATGCGTGATTTAAAACCCCACTTTTTAATTTGTCTATTGTAAGAATTTCTGCTAGTTTTAATACTTTGTGTTTACGAATGCTACAAACAAGTTACTGACAAATGTTCCCACGTTATTTTCTGGCCTGCTTTCATCCAGGGCTTCATCTGCCAGCATTGCCCAAGCAGCTCTGAGCACTCTGAGAGGTTTTTCACTCAGGTGAAGTACACAACTCAGCAGGAGTCCTTGGAAAGCAAGCCGAGGTGTGCCAGGGCAGGTAAAAGCCTTGCTAAGCAGCTGCTGGGGGAGGGATGTGCAGGTCAGAGCTGCAGTGCCTGCCAACATGCCAGGCTGTCCCCACCAGAACACAGGGAATTCCCTAGAACACATTTTCTCCCTGGACAGGATTTAACTCTCATCACCACAACCTGCTCCCTTTGGAACAAGCCACTGCTGTAAAGCAGCCTTGAAACTTCCCGAGTCACAGACATCCTGTCGATTCTGTGCTTCCCCCGAGCAGGAATCCCTGATCTGGAACGAGCTGGCTCGGGAGGTCCAACAGCCCAGGGAATCCCCACGCACTGTTTGCACTCAGCGCCGTGCCCCACAGGAGCCCCTGCTCTGAAGGGATGAGTGCATCAAATCCACCAGCTGCCAGTCATTAATCTCATTACAGCACCCGGCCCTGCTTTAAGGCCCTCTTGGCTCTGCTGGGGTGTCAGCGTGGGGCTGAATTGCTGCAGCACTGTTCTGCCTTAAAACCGTTCAGCCATCCCACACCAGTTCAGAGCAAACTTTTGGGTTTGTTTTCTTTGTATTTGGCCCCGTAAGTATGGCACGTTTTCCAAGTGTTCTGTTTCAGAATGTCACAGCACAGGAAAGAGCACTCAAGAAACCTCAGCTGTGGAGCTTGCAGCTCTTCCACAATATTCTAGGGACACCTGTTATAGAAGATAGGTAAAAAAATCCAGATCCAATGAAATGGAGGCAAGTTTAAAAGCACCAATTTTGAGGCTTAGAGAACATGCCTGGACAGCAGGTATGGAAGAGGAACCCCCTACATAAAACAGGTCCCACCCACTCACTCTGCATTCCCAGAATCTTACGCAGTCCATCAGATCCTTTTTTCCCACCAATATTTAAAATCCTGTGTACTTTTGGCCTATATTAGCAGTTCTCCTATTACTACCTTACCATTAGGAAAAGTAACAGCTCCAGAACTGTAAAAGCTTCCAGGATCCTGGACCAATCTGAATATGCAGAGCATCTCCACTCATGGCTCACTTTGTTCTTTCCAAAGATCACTTTAACATTTACTCAGGACTCCTGAATAGACAAAGTTATAAAAACCCAATACTTACATCCACACATAAGAATTCCTAACATCTCACATAGGCAGAATATCCTATAGTTGTTATTTTAATTTCTGCAGGTTAATCTAAGCATCTACATCTGATTAATAAAAACTGATATTGACATTTATGCATATGAACCAAAGATTTGGCAGACACAGATTTTGGAAATACATTCTCTAGCTATGCTCTGCAAACCACAGAGGGATTTTTGCCTTTTCACACGGAAAACACCCTCAGGAAAGCTTCAGTAAGCATCTGCATCACTAATATAGAATTTAAAATGATGTATTTTACAAAGTTATATATTTATAATTTGATATAATTGATACTTTGCAGAGGTTAAAGTGCAACACAACCTGCCTAGAGGACCCAGGACAATCCTTTTTAAATTTCACCTTGAGGCAAACCCCTTTCCTTCCCCGAAATCTGGTTACATATGAAAACAAAGTAACACCCCGGTCAATCTGGTACCACGGATGCTGCAGTAATACTTTGAGAGGATATTTACAAGAATCTTTTTTCTCTTACAACTTTTAAAGAAAAGAACTACTGAGACACAGAACCACAGGGGGAAAAGAAAAAGGTTTAACATTGCAGGAATGAAAATACAATTCTTTTTATTTCTGAAAAGTCACACTCTGAAATCTTTAATGTAAGAATTTCTGCTAGTTTTAATACTTTGTGTTTACGAATGCTACAAACAAGTTACTGACAAATGTTCCCACGTTATTTTCTGGCCTGCTTTCATCCAGGGCTTCATCTGCCAGCATTGCCCAAGCAGCTCTGAGCACTCTGAGAGGTTTTTCACTCAGGTGAAGTACACAACTCAGCAGGAGTCCTTGGAAAGCAAGCCGAGGTGTGCCAGGGCAGGTAAAAGCCTTGCTAAGCAGCTGCTGGGGGAGGGATGTGCAGGTCAGAGCTGCAGTGCCTGCCAACATGCCAGGCTGTCCCCACCAGAACACAGGGAATTCCCTAGAACACATTTTCTCCCTGGACAGGATTTAACTCTCATCACCACAACCTGCTCCCTTTGGAACAAGCCACTGCTGTAAAGCAGCCTTGAAACTTCCCGAGTCACAGACGGCCCGTCCTGTCGGATTCTGTGCTTCCCCCGAGCAGGAATCCCTGATCTGGAACGAGCTGGCTCGGGAGGTCCAACAGCCCAGGGAATCCCCACGCACTGTTTGCACTCAGCGCCGTGCCCCACAGGAGCCCCTGCTCTGAAGGGATGAGTGCATCAAATCCACCAGCTGCCAGTCATTAATCTCATTACAGCACCCGGCCCTGCTTTAAGGCCCTCTTGGCTCTGCTGGGGTGTCAGCGTGGGGCTGAATTGCTGCAGCACTGTTCTGCCTTAAAACCGTTCAGCCATCCCACACCAGTTCAGAGCAAACTTTTGGGTTTGTTTTCTTTGTATTTGGCCCCGTAAGTATGGCACGTTTTCCAAGTGTTCTGTTTCAGAATGTCACAGCACAGGAAAGAGCACTCAAGAAACCTCAGCTGTGGAGCTTGCAGCTCTTCCACAATATTCTAGGGACACCTGTTATAGAAGATAGGTAAAAAAATCCAGATCCAATGAAATGGAGGCAAGTTTAAAAGCACCAATTTTGAGCACAGGCTTAGAGAACATGCCTGGACAGCAGGTATGGAAGAGGAACCCCCTACATAAAACAGGTCCCACCCACTCACTCTGCATTCCCAGAATCTTACGCAGTCCATCAGATCCTTTTTTCCCACCAATATTTAAAATCCTGTGTACTTTTGGCCTATATTAGCAGTTCTCCTATTACTACCTTTCCATTAGGAAAAGTAACAGCTCCAGAACTGTAAAAGCTTCCAGGATCCTGGACCAATCTGAATATGCAGAGCATCTCCACTCATGGCTCACTTTGTTCTTTCCAAAGATCACTTTAACATTTACTCAGGACTCCTGAATAGACAAAGTTATAAAAACCCAATACTTACATCCACACATAAGAATTCCTAACATCTCACATAGGCAGAATATCCTATAGTTGTTATTTTAATTTCTGCAGGTTAATCTAAGCATCTACATCTGATTAATAAAAACTGATATTGACATTTATGCATATGAACCAAAGATTTGGCAGACACAGATTTTGGAAATACATTCTCTAGCTATGCTCTGCAAACCACAGAGGGATTTTTGCCTTTTCACACGGAAAACACCCTCAGGAAAGCTTCAGTAAGCATCTGCATCACTAATATAGAATTTAAAATGATGTATTTTACAAAGTTATATATTTATAATTTGATATAATTCTCATTTTGCAGAGGTTAAAGTGCAACACAACCTGCCTAGAGGACCCAGGACAATCCTTTTTAAATTTCACCTTGAGGCAAACCCCTTTCCTTCCCCGAAATCTGGTTACATATGAAAACAAAGTAACACCCCGGTCAATCTGGTACCACGGATGCTGCAGTAATACTTTGAGAGGATATTTACAAGAATCTTTTTTCTCTTACAACTTTTAAAGAAAAGAACTACTGAGACACAGAACCACAGGGGGAAAAGAAAAAGGTTTAACATTGCAGGAATGAAAATACAATTCTTTTTATTTCTGAAAAGTCACACTCTGAAATCTTTAATCACATTCAACTTATCAGGATGGCAGATGACCAAACTGAAGCATCATAGTAACACAAGCCCATATTCACACCACAGAATCAAGCACTATTTCTTAGATTTAAGCGAATTTATGACTTCCCGATGAACATTTCTTACATATATTCACTGCAAATGTACTGCCATAAAACTTCAGGACTGCCCTGATACAGCAAACACTAAGTGCCAGGAAGGAAAAAAAAACCCCAAACCATTAAACAAGAATGATGAAATGATGCTCAGCAGTATCCAAACTACGGCGTCTTTTGTTTGGAAAACTTGCATTAACAGGAATTCCCAAGAGTAATTTCGCTACACAGAACGCTGATTGTGCGAGAGGCTTTAAGGGTCTGCAGCAATTGTAACTCAGTGATACCCTCGATACAAATTGTTGCTTCTAAGCAATTACTGCAAGGGGCACTTGCTTTCAATCAAAGGCCGGTAGGAAAAGCAGCAAAGCACCTTCCAACAAAGCGGGGCAAAAAGAAATTGACGACAAGGTTCAGTCACCAACCACACTTTTCTTCCCTCATTCAAATTAGCCACGCGCTATACTCCTTGTGATAACCTTCACGTTTCTCTGCCAGATTGCAAAGAAAGCTGGCACGTTCGTCACGGTCACACATCCCGCCCCCCACCTGCCCCATTTTACCCACAACTCCGGGAACCCCAAACTTTTCCAGCACTGCTCGGACGGTGCTGTGAGAGCAGCAGCCGCAAAGAACAGCTCCGAGCCCACAGCGCTCCAGCGGCGCTGCCCCCGAACCCCACGCACCTTCTTTGGTCTGCGCGTTGGTGATCTGCAGGTCGCAGTCGGCCGCCTTCAGCTTCTCCCGGCCCATGATCTGGCGCTTGAGGTCGCTCAGCGAGATGTGCAGCCCGTCGAAGGTGACCGTGTCATAGTTGAGCTTGGAGGAGAACTTGTAATGCACGCACGACATGGCGGGGCGCGGGCGGCGCCCGCTCTGGCGCGGCGGGGCCGCGGGGGTCGGGCAGGGCCCGCGGGGGCCGGGGCGGC